ATATTCCGAGACCCTGACCGAGCACGTGAGACTAGTGCGCACCATGCTCCAAAGACTGTTAAAAGTGCAGCTGTACACCAAGCTCTCGAAGTGTGAGTTCCGTCAAGAGCAACTGGACTACCTTGGGTATAGAATATCCAGCAGGGGTGTTGAGATGGACCCAGCAAAAGTGAAGGATGTACTGGGGTGGGAAGCGCCACGGACCTGGAGGCAGCTCCAAAGCTTCTTGGAGTTTGCTAACTTCTACCGGCAGTTTATTCCAAACTTCGCTCAAGTTGCCCTGCCACTAACAGACTTACTTAAGACTCGGGGCAGCAGCAAAACCCCCAAGCCTAGCACGCCCCTCGCGTGGACCCCAGAGTGTCAAGAGGCATTCGGGGACCTAAAACGAAGATTCACCGCAGAGCCCATCCTGCGCCACCCCAATCTTGACCAGCGGTTCATAATCCAGGTGGATGCCTCCGACGTGGTGACGGGAGCAGTCCTTCTATAGCCTGGGCCCGAGGAAGCCCTCCACCCGTGCTCCTACGCCTCACGAAAGTTCACCAAGATGGAAATGCGGTGGATGGTGTGGAAGAAGGAGGCGTTTGCTATAAAGTGGGCTCTATCCACCTGGAGACACCTACTGGAGGGAGCGAGCCAGCTGTTCAAACTGTTGATGGACCACAAGAACCTCGAGGCACTTAGGACCCCGTGGAAGCTTTCACCCAAGCAAGCACACTGGTCCCAATACTTCGGACAGTTTAATTTCAACCTCAAACACATCCTGGGGAAAAAGAACTTCTTAGCGGATGGACTGTCTCGCATGCCCCAGCACGCAAGCCAGCAGGAGGAGGTTGTGGACTCGATCGTCCCTGCAACCCGGCTGGCCACAAAAGCCATAACGCACAGCCAAATGAGGAAGCGGGCAAGTGACACCGAACCGGGAATCCAACAAACTTTCTGAGAAGCCAGTGAGTGAGACCCTTGGGTGGCGGAGAACAAAGACTCTTTAACGGGACATGGGGGGTTGTGGTGGCACAAGGGCAAGTTGTATGTACCTAGGGATTGGCGAAGGGAGGTGATGGAAAGAGCCCATGATAATAAAAACGCAGGCCACTACAGGTTTGTGAAAACCCTCCACCTAATACAGAGGCAGTTCTGGTGGCCGAGCCTTCGGAAGGACATGGGGGTGTACACAGCGAGCTGCCCGATTTGTGCAATGGCCAAAGGGAGCAAGGGGAAGCCCCAGGGTCTCCTCTAGCCTGTAGCGACACCGGACGGCCCTTGGCAAGAAATCGCCATGGACTTTATTGTGGAGCTACCCGAGAGCAAGGGGAAGATGGCGATTTGGGTAGTGACGGGCTTGTTTTCAAAACAAGCGCACTTTGTGGCTTGTCGGTGAGTCCCCACCATGGAGAAGCTGGCGCAGATGTTCGTGCAGCATGTATATCGATTGCACGGTGCCCCCTGGCAAGTCGTGAGCGACTGGGGGGGGGAACTTCGTTGCGCTGTTTTGGCGGGAGTTCCTGAAGCGAGTGGGGACTCAGCAAGCCCTCTCCTCAGTGACGCATCCGCAGACGGACGGGGCCATGGAACGTCTTAACAGGGGGCTGGAGCAGTACCTATGGTGCTATGTGGATTATCAGCAAGACAACTGGGCGGAGCTGCTACCATTTGCGGAGGTAGCATATAACAATGCGGTCCACAAAAGCACCAGCTTCACCCTGTTTAAAGTGGCGACCAGGCAAGACTTCATCGCCATGCCTGAGCTACCCCAGCTGGTGTCCCGGATCAGCTCATTGGACACTTGGTTCACCCAGATAGACGCTACAAGGCAGGGGGTCCAAATGGCACTGCAGGAACCCAGAGCAGACTGCAAAAAATATGCCGACTGCAAGCGACTCCCTGAGTGGCAGTGGAAAGTAGGGGACCACGTGTACCTGTCCACAAAGAACCTGAAGACGCATCAAGCGTCTAAAAAACTCAGCCCGAAGTTTGTGGGTCCTTTCCCTATTGTCGAGATAATAAACCTGGTGACTGTCAGGCTGAAGCTCCCAAAAGCACTCGGGAAGGTCCATCCGGTCTTCTATTGCAGCCTGCTGAAGCCGCATTGACCGTCCAAGGACTGGCATAGAGATGAGCCAGCCCCGGTATCAATCATGGTCGACAGGGAGAGACACTTTGAAGTAAAACAAATCCTGGACACCAGGAAACACAAGGACCAGATCCAACTATAATGGAAACATTTCCCAAGAGCATACAGTGAGTGGGTAAACAAGTCCCATGTTAGGGCACCTGAACTGGTCAAGGACTTTTACAAGAAGCAACCCGGGAAACCAAGGTAAGGGGGGGTTCTCTTCAGGGGGGCAGTATGTCAGATTCAGCCGGCATGGTACGGCACGGCGAAGCGCTGCTCAGCTGCGCCTAGTCAATTTCACCGCCCAGGCACTAGCCAAGGAAAAGGGGAAGTGAAACCGCAACTGATGACGGACGGGGGCGGCGCTTAACTCAACCCGCAAGCGGATACTTAGTATCAGCAAGGCTTCCCTCGGGCGCTGCAGACAAAGGGGAGCGCAGAGGCTCGGAAGCGAAGCAATCAACGAGCGATCGGGAACTCCCGGCCTTGCGCGCAAACAGGGAAGCCCAACAAAGGCAACAACAGCACAACCCATAGAATGCAATCAGAAAGACAAAAGCACCGGACTGAATCTGCCATTTGGGCAAGGGGGGATTACGGTGGGTAATCTGTAAGTAAGCAACGGGTAAAGCACGGGAACAGGGAAGCTATGAAATACCATGTAAGCTATGCCAAGCCAACCCTGGCTTTGTCTGTACTTACTTACATTACGC